AGTTTATCCAAATTATGAATCGTTTACGTCAATATTTTCTAATGAATATCTACGATAAATCTCATGACAAACTTGAATAATTATGGTATGCAAAGTATATTTAAAAAAAAAAAATAAAAAAATGAATCAATTCGTTGTTAAGTATGAAAAAAATGGGGGTGAGCCACTCTATGAATCACCTTGTAAGTGTATTATATTATATATTATACCATCCATCTAATCATAAATATATATATATATATATATTATAATGCACTATTGACACGAGACGGGAAGTGCGGAACTCTTGACCCGTTTTCTTTTTGTTTAATTTGTTTTTTTCCGCTCAAAAATATCCTCCCCCCACCGACTACCGGTAATCATTCACAGCGTACGGTCACCGGTCGCCGTTGCGGGTTTCCCCCTTTTGTTCGCCGAAAACGTATAATAGTCCGACGCGACCGGCAAACGTTTCTTTGCCGCCGTTGTCGCAAAGACAATGCAATAACGCGTCGATTAGCATACAATGGAGGCGAAACGACGACCGCCACCTCCACTGTAGTCATCATCTATATGTCGCGCGCGCGTTCGAGTCTATAATACAGGTACCTACCTATACAGTCGTCCCATATTATGACGACAACGATAATAATATAGCAATAATAATGTGCACATCATAATACCGTAAATAATAATATATACCTAAGCATACAGCGCACACAACGAATGTGTAATCAAACATTTTCGTCACTTCCGAAACTATCATATTGTTTTACCCCTCATCGTGCCCCGCCCAGTCTCGTATGGTCGGACGTTCGAAAGGTTAAATGCTATTCGAAACGCAAACATATTACATCGTTTTATCACTATTACTATTATATTGTTATTATTTTAATAATATAATATTAATTCAGACGGGAGTGTATGCGACGTGTGCGTGAGCAAGCACGCCGTACAGCATATTCTGAAGAACAATGATGATAATAATAATAATGTTAATACTACGAATTATCACGCGTGTCGCTGGGGCGCACTGTTATTATATTATTATGGGTACACGTCGAGGAAAATATATGATTGTAAAGCGTAGTTACTACCAAAAATGTTAAGTTAAAATATATATAATGACCACGGCCGGACGACGTTATAAAATCGCGGTCGACCGATTTCTCACATAATAGTTAATTACCAACGTATATTATTGTATTATGTAATTAATGTATCACGATTACATAACATTATATGTGATACGTATAAAAAAACACGTTACACGTGTCTATAATCAATTTAACTATTTATTTTATTATGTATCGCGAATTACTGTGATCAATTGTTACAATATTATTTACAATAACCACGAGAATATCTTGATTTTTCGATTTGAAAACATAATTTATACTGTGATAATAATAGATATGTAATAGTTGTATTTAAAAATTAAGAATCGATATTATGATTACAATATTATTATATCATGATTAAACTTAGAAATTAAAAAAACGCAGCGTAATATGTTTTTCATACCTTGATAAGTCATGTTTTGTCTCATAAAAGTAATCGGTGCTATAAATTATACTCGTACATATTTTACTATAGATTTTTAAATCCTTCAAATTTTAATTTACTTCTGATAAAGTGTCGATAAACTTTTTATGCATTTGAAAGACGTGAACCAAATAGTGTTAAAATCACTACATCATTCATCGGTATAGAATCGGTGGTATGGTTGTTTGGTATCATATGATTTACCCGTGACTTATAAGTTGCGTTTGCATACAATATTTATAATCTGGTTAAATATTAACTATATAATATAATTTATATATTAATAGTATAGGTATACGCGAAATGCATATTATATGTATGAAGTTTTATATAATCCTAATAATAAAACTCATGGTATCTTAAATCAGATTACCTCATAAAATCCCGGTATACATAATACTATTACATTTATGTAGTATGACCAGAGTATACATCACCACGGTTGTAGATAGACTATCTATAATCGTGATCTTTACTAAAATCAAATGGACATTTTGTTGTAAGCGTATAGGCCATAGGGCAAAAGTTAAATGTTGTATGGTTATAAATATTATAATATACTACTTATCTAATGATTAAAATAATCATATTTTTGGTATAAATTGTTGTGAATATAATAAATATATTTGATAGTGATAACAGAAAGTAAATATTAAAAAATGTTTAATGAATAACCTCCTGTTTTTACAATAAAACATATTATGTTATCCCATGTATATACAGACTTAAGTCTACAAGTGATTTAGATAATTTAAAAATTATTGTTTTATACTCAAAAAATATAATTTAATAAAAATTTATTATTTTTTTAATATTGTTATTTTGATAATTTCATATCATGCACTTAACCCACAACCTAGCCTATATGTAATAAGTAAATATTATAATATAATAAAAATTGAATATGAATAGTCAAAATTCTTTTATATCACATTTAAATCAATATAAGTCTATATTATTTATTTTTATTTTTTTTTTATGATTATTTCTTAACATGGTTTTAAATTAATTGGGTATCGAGAAAATCTACAGGTATTTCTATCATACCATTTTATACCAAAATTATGAACGTGTAAAATAAAAAAAAATATGAAAACATGCAGTGTTTTATGTTATCCTGTAAACAGGAAACTTTCGTTTGATTTAATGTTATTATCAAATATTTTTTACCTATACGTTTTTTGTACGACTTTTAGAAACGGACAAAATGTATAATATTATCCAACGAGATATAAACGTTATAATTTCATGAAATTAATTATAATAAACCGCACAAAACAGACGAGACCAATCAATTTTTTTTTTATCAAGCTTTATATTATTATTATACATATATTACAAAATACAATTTAAAGAAAACGAGTGTGTATAATATGGGTACGGGTACACAAAACCGGTCTCCATAAGTCTTATGATATGAGATTTATAAACAAACGACCTTGTGCGGCGTTAGTGTAAAGCTTGACGGTGTATTTAAAATAAGTCATCTCGTAAACAAATACACACACACACACACACATACATACATATATATATATATACATACATAATGTATATTGTACATTTGTATGTATATTTACACGTGTGGCGCTGGCTATGACCGCAGCAGCAAACTTCTGTCGAAATAGAGGCGAATCACTAATTTGTAATTTGATTTTGGATCGGCAAGCGTATAATATATTATATATTAATATTATACATACCTATACTTATTATATATAATGGTTTATACCCATTACCCATTTATACATATACACATATTATAGTTGACATGTTCTCGATAGTATCATAATATATCGTATGGAACATGTATATATATATATAGACGCAATAATTCCTGAGTTTGAAGTAGACGGAAAGCCAGAGAAAGTTGCTAAAATACACCTACGCGTATATTATACGTATTATATTATATTATAGGTACTTTACGATTTAACACAACTACATATTTTTAATACATATCCTTCAGTGGTAGTTTGTAATATTTGTATTATAGAAAACCTTCCCCCTTTTGCCATATGCCCACTATCTGGCATACTCGAAGCTCAGCCAAAAAATTGAAGGCGGATAAAATAACAATTTTTTAGTACTGTAATCGAATATACAGTAACATTAGATAAAATTCCCCTTATCTAATCTTCTTAAATGTTTTTTGTACAGTTATATTCATTTTTATTTTTCATAATGCTAGTTTGAAAATTGTATTATTATACGAACACATGACTAAAAAACTACCTAGGAGTGGGGTGATTGTTTAATTACCTCTCACGCCACAAGTAAAATACGCCACTGCGACGTATGCATATAAGCTATACCTTATTGGGTATTAAGAATTGCTTATTGGGTATTAAGAATAAAAAGTAACTTTAAAAAAAGCTGCAGGTTTTAATATTCGAATTTTGCACATCATCGTTAAAATACAAGTCGAAAACAAGTGAACAATTAAACTATAGTGAAAAAATATTAAATATTAATACTGAGCAAATTTAATGCTTTTGTGTAATATTTACTTGCGTATTCACATGATTGATGTAAATTTTGTATTGTATTTTTTTTTTTGCGATAAAACCTGCAGTGTAATTAAATTCGCTACGACTACTAAAAATAAAAATATAAACAATATATTTATATATGATGTTATTATACACGCGTTACGCGTTTTGACTCTGCAGTGGTGTGATTATAGATTTTACTGCAGTTTATGGCACTATACATATTACGAAAATTATTATCTCCAAACGGTATCGTTATTAATTTAATTAAAATTTAATGTTTACCACAACGAAAATTATAACAATATAATATTATAAAATATGAAATATGTGCATATTACGTTCCAGCCATATTGATATACATGCTTATATAGATTATATAGAGAGTTCATGTTCCACGAAAATATTCAAACGTAACTTCAACATTATTAAATTGTCAAATCTTACTAACATCTATACTATAATATACTTGAGGTCTGAGCAGTTAATTGTATCACAGTAACTTTATACTTCAATATCTGATGAAAGTCATGATTAAACTATTGATTATATTATTAATATTATATAATATATATATACTATATAAGTTGATTTATCAAGCATGCAAATATCAGATAACCGGCATTGCGATATTATGTTGAACGATACATTTTAAATAATTTTTTTTAATCCGAAAAAGTGTTAACAGAAAGCTGAAAAGTACAAGAGAACAAAATATCACTGCATTAACACATTTAGCTATTTAGCTAGGATGTAAGAAACAATTTAGATCATGAAAAAAAGTAAAAAATATTGTTTTCACAGTAATTAATTAATTTTTTTTTTTTGTTTAGTGGTTGTGTTTCTTAGCAATATTGTGTTATGTTTTAGATAAAAATAATAAAATAACCATTTTAATAATAATAATAGTTATTTTTAATGTTTTATTACGTCAAGTTTTTGATAATATGTATACCATAATTTTAACCAAATCAATTGTGATCGATGTTCTGTATTACGTTCGGGAACTTTGATGCAGCAAAGATAATGCAACGTTTTTCATTTGTTGTTGTTATTGTTGTAACATTAGGGCTACAGCAAACTATCGAAACCGGTGGTAGAACATCTATCGTGTCCTCATTCCGATTGAACGTCACCACTGAATTTCCATTTTTAGTTGGCTTAACTACCAGAAAAATAGATGATGAAATGAACTGGAAGGCTGTCATCTGCTCAGGAACCCTGATATCTTCGGTGTTCGTTTTGTCATCGGCGTATTGCACGTCGCGTTTGACAACCACGACCAAGTTGAGTTCAGAGGGCACTACATTAATTGTACGAAGATAAAAGTGATAAAAATGATTATTTTTCATGATTTATCATGGTTCTTACAGACATAACCATATTATTATTAAATACAACTTGGTATAATACTAAACAATATGATTAACCAAGTATTTTACCCCCTTCCCCTAATGGTATTATCATTAATCTTAAACTTAGTAAAACTTATTATTTTATAGATATAAATAAAATTAATTTATATATAATATACAATATTTTATAGCATAAACAATTTATAGTTAAGTTCGTTTATTTAATAATATAGTTATTAGTTACGTAATAGTTAAGTTAATTATTAATAATCAAATCTAAATAGACTAAAATCTATTTGGGTGTCTATTGCAGAGATTTTAAAATTAAATTTTGAGTGACCTAAAAAAAAATATTCGAAAATTTTCATGTTTGGAGGTGGCCAAACTATACGTTGGGTCGTATAATTAGGGAACCTAATGTTTAAAGTCAAAATATATTGAAGAAATATAGATAAATTTTAATTTTTGCAATCGTGCTTGACTTTTAGTAAAAGATAGAGCATATATATTTCAAACATTCGTGTTCATATACGTACATTTACTTATTACACATCGATACTTATAATGAGGTAATATATTGTGTGTATTTATTATTAAGTCGTCAAAACCAAACCAATAGATTGAAAATTAAATTTCTTTATGACTGAACTATAATGTCACACGTAAAATATAGTTACTTATGTATAATATGGAATTCTTCTGAAATTACGTTAGCGATACGCTCTGTGCCCCTTCGTACCTACAACACTTTAATAGTTAATCCATGCACTTGCTTGTAGACCAAGCATTTGATGTCCGTATTTCTTGATTATTCGTTTTTCTGCCTATAGGCGTATTGGAGGACACCTGGCAACTCCATCAAATACCACCGGGCCATAAGTGTTTATATCCATCCGTCATACGATAAAGCCACACGCATGTTTGATTTATCGCTGATAAAAGTGAGAGAAAGATGAACGATCCATGAATAAGTTTCTTATAACGCATTGCTAAGACTCTTAACGTTTATGTCATAACATAATCATAAAATGTAACCTTATAACATTTATAACAGCTCAAGAAACCGTTTCAATATGTTGAACGTTTTGTCGGACTATCGTCAAGAACGTTCAATAGTGATGTTGAACTGAATTGCGTTGTTGTAGGGATTGGTGCACCTCATGAACGTAGTTACAAGGTACCAGTACGTGTCAAGTATGGCCGCACTGCTTGTCGTATTCCAAAATCAAAGTGAGCAAAATACCTACAAAAAAAAAAAATTAATATTCGATCTATAATAGTTTTAAATTTAAATTTAAAAATATTTTTGATATTAATGATCAATATGTTTTTAAAAATAGTGCATAACATAGAAAAGTCAATTTACTTAAAAATATGAATTTTTAATTTGTTTATCATAAATATTTTGTAAAATTTATTCCTATAATTTTAACCAAAATATTTTCCATTTACGAGCTTATAACAAATGTTTTAATTCTAAAATTACACTAAAGGTATCAACAATAGCCGTTTTTCGTGATCATGTTTATTGATTTTTTTTATATAATTGCATATCATGTAAATATAGCTCATTCTAAGCAATACTCAGGTTTTTCAAAATAAGTTGATCGAATAACCTAACCTAATCTTGTTGATATAATTTATGGTTCTCTACTTTCCTACTTATAATAGTATGTATCAATCTATCGATTTATTTTTATTTTTGGTGTTTATTAAATTTGTCACTGAGAATATCCCTGAAGATATATTATACTCTCTCCTTTCTTATTTTTCTTTATAAATTTCACTTCTTCGATGATCTATCACGTAAAACTTTTAATTTTTACTAACAACCTTATTATCATTGATTTTTTTTAGATTTTTGATAACAACCTTATTATCAATTTAAATAATATTACAAGCTACGATCACAATTTTTCACTCTTCATTATTCTGTTTATTTTTTAACCAACTGTTACTTTTTGGACTTGTCCCGTATAAATAAATAAATACATAATTCACGTGTTTTAATAAACAACGAAAGTGAATGATACAGGATGATGTTTCCCGCGCCGTTTCAGCCCTGGTTTTGAGTACGTGATCGGATTTACTTGGGCAGATTTCTTGTGTGCCGAGACAATAGGCCCGGCAGTTACGCGATTGCCGTGTGACCGGGCTGACCCACTGTTGTGCTCCAGTGGTCGGTATCAGTATGGAATCTTTAGCTATGGGTACGATGGCACAAATGCATCTCCAGCGACAGAAGCGACTGAATGCGGAGATTCGGTCATTCAGGGAAGACTCTTGTTTGTCAATAGGTACGCTGGCTGGATTTCTGAAACAATGACGAAACTCATAGCAAACCACGATGGCGGCTCGCAACAGTCAGACAAAGATTATAAGACGACAACGAGGCATCGTCACCCCACTCGGCTACGATCGACAACCAACTCAACTCAAACAGTAGTGCCGCAAGTAACCTGCACTGACCGCTTGGAAGTCGATTATCCATATCTGGTATACTTGGAAGGTCTACCTGACGAACCGGTGTGTGGCGGCACTCTGGTATCGCCCTGGCACGTGCTTACAACCGCTTACTGCACGACGAGAATGACCGAAATTGTGGTATGAACCACACATATACAATGATGTAATCAGCTGATCAGAAATTGTCAACTGTAGAATTTATAATAATATCAATATAGCGAAGCATTGCTGATAAAGCACTCTATAATCATATTTTTTCTATCCCAAGTATATCGTTGGTATAAAGAAATTGGGTTTGTTGTGTACTTGTGTACCATGCGCCGTAATAAAAACTTTTGATTTATCATATTTTATGTTGTTATTGTATCTTTATTGTGGTTAAAAATCTAATAAATATCCTTACTTTTCTATCCACTGAGTAGCTATTGTAAAAAGAATGCCATTTTTTTTTTTGTCCTATCTAATTAACTTCCATATAATAATTTTTTTAATTATAAAATAATATCATTATTTATAGATCGGTTAGGCACAATACCTGTTATCTCAACTTAGACCCATCACAAATTTATCATTTTGATTTTTCATGACCAGTTTTACTATATTGCTGTTTATAATATCAAATAAATGAAAATAATACTTAAATTTCTAGTCTAATTTTTTTCAATAATTAGTAATGTTTATTTTATTTGTATTTTGCTGCAGGTGACCGTTACAACATACCATAGACAATGCTCGAACGCAAGCTTCGTTTATATTCATCCGGATTTCGACTCGTACACACTAACCGCGGACATCAGCATCGTAGTTGTAAGCATCCCTACTATCTTATTCTCAGTACTCTTTAACTAATGGTTTCATTGTTATCCCCGTAGTTACGTGAACCGTTAAACGTGCCTAGGTATGCACAGCTACCAAATATTATCAATGGTCCGATCGACGATAACTTCACTACTAAAGCTCTGGCTTGCGTAGTGGTAGCAACAAGACGGCTGACACCTTATTATTACATTCCAGTCAATGTCATGTACGGGCTCAAAGCTTGTCCAGAGTCAATCGAGTATACATAGTATTATTAGTTATTACTTATTATCGTATGAATCATGGATGTATGAATAAATCCGTGTTCAAAATAAATATCAGAACATTATATCGGATGTAATGATAGAAGTAGTGAGCTATATTTTCGACCGAAAATGAATCACGCTCCAGTCCCCTTAAGTATAAATTCAGAATTTTTAAGAGGACGCCACACTTGCATGTATTATATACTTAAAACGATATCAAATTTTCGTTCTGCAAAATCCATTTTATTTTATTAACTTTTTAATATTACAGTAAATTTATGTATTATCAAACTTAAATGTAAAAAAATTATCTAGGCCATCTCATAGGCTTTTATTAATTAATATTATAATTTTAAAGTGAGTTATGAGAATTTTAAAATTTTAATATTTTACATAGCTATAACTCAGTTTAAAATTTTAATATCAATAAAAGGCTAAGTGATGGCCTAGATAAAATTCTTACCTTTTTGTTTGATTATAGGTAAATTTACTCTAATATTAAAGCTAATAACATGAAATGAATTTTACTGCACGAAAATGTTCTATATCGCATGTATGTAAGATGAAAATAACACATGTGGATGTGTACTACAAAATGTTATTTTTCTGATGGTTGTAAAATTCGGGTTCGAAAAATAAACAATTTGAATTGGTTAATCTGCAGTATTCATTAAAATTATTACCCACTGCTAATAGATATTATTTATAGATAAAAGACATACTTTTAATCTTTTCCAATTCATAACAGAGACGATGTAATTCCTAACATGTACGTACACTTATTTTTATGGGAGGTTATTTTATTCGTATATTAAACGATATTTTCTGCAGGCCAAATTTAATAATGGTAAATTTATTGTACACCTATCAGCTTAGAAACTCAGACAATTGTCAGCAAGACATGGCGCGAGTTCATCTGCGGGATGCCAAATCAACTACTTCGAAATGACACAGGAGATCCTTTAATCTGCGACGGATTGCAGTATGGTATAATTAGTCACACGTACCGGACTAAGATTCAAGCCTCCAAAACTGGAAGTATCGATCAAGTTCGTTTCTTGATAGTTAACTACCATAAAGAGTGGATCGATAATGTAATCGTGGCCGATAATCGATTCGGCACTAATGACGGTTGCCCGCACACATTCTCTGGATTCGCGATCAATTTGGTTCTGCTGCTGCTCATAATCATATTCCAATTATTGTCACAGCTTAGGTAGAAAATCATACAATGATTACGAATATTACATAGTTGATGGTAAGAATATAAAAATGTTAATGAGTAATATTATTTTTTAATTTAACTAAGCAATCGTATATGGTTGCATAATGTATTTTGATATTATGTTTTACCCCGTTAAAAATTATCTATATTTCAGTGGTAGCTATTCACTATTATACTACATAAGGATCCTGAGTGTTTTTAAAATTTAAAATTTATTAAAAGCATACCTATTCTTCTAAACTATATTTTAGTGTATTAAGATTTTCAGTTTTCTTTGAGTTTACCATAAATTAGGCTTAGGTATTATATTTCTAAAAAATTGAAAAATTAAAACTTTTAATTTAACACTAATAAGAAAAAAAGAATATGTAGGGTGGATGGACAGATCTTACAGTCGTTTAGGATTTATATTCATATAAAATACAAATACCGTTTGAAAAATATCGAACAAAGCGATACTTGACTAATAGAAACATATAATATTTTATAAAATTAGTTATTATATAATTAGTTATAGTTTGATTGAAATAAATTAATTAAAATATACATTTAGTAAAGAATTTATTATTGGTATTATCTTTATTTTATTGTCGATCTCAGAAAGATATTGAAATGAACATGTCCATAATACTATTGTTTTGTTTATCTTGATTATAGCAATTATAGCCATTAATACATATAATTTCTACTGCACTGCCATTATTTATTGTAAATAAAATAAAGGTAATATAATTCATATCTTTAATTTTAAATTTGTTATAGGTATGAATATATATTTTTGTAATAAGAAAATCTTATGTTTTACGTGTAACAGGAAGAATGCAACTAAATTAAAAAAAAAAATAAACACGTTTTTTTTATTTTAATGTTCGTTATTATGAGTATCAAATAAATAAAATTTAATTACTCAACTACTGTAAATTATATATTTAAAATGTTTCAATGTATAGGCAGTAAAAGTACTATGTTTAACTCAACAGTATAAAACTAATTTTAAACTGTTTTTAATAAACCAAAAACATAGCACAACTCAAATCAGAAAAAAAAAAAATAAAATAAAATAATATACTTATAATAATTTTTTTTAATACATAATTTGTCTAGAAAATTTAATTAAGTAGAAAAAAGAATGTTCTTATTATTTTTCTTTAATCTTTAACGTTTGAATACCAGCGGTAATAATTGCGTGCCTACTAAAAGTGGTACACCAGATACGAGCGCCTATAAAATCATAGATATTTTAATGTAATGTCACACATAAATATTAATAATTATTATTATTATGCAATTTGGTCCCGGACAATTTGTCACGCATCGATAGCAGATAAGAACGACAGTTCGGTTGCCCCCGACGACAAATCATCATAATATATCATACTATCGCACAGCGTGTGTGCGCGTTTTACCGGACATACACAAAATTGGTCGGATACTGATCGACGCGACTGCCGGTTTTTGGCGTACATATTTTACATATATTTATCTACTTAAAATCTAAATTCAATAATTATTAATGTGTTCCGATAAAGTGAAACGCAATATGCATATTATAACTATCATAGTAGGTATCTACATTTTACGAAAGTATTCATGGAATAAAAGTATTAAATTCTATGGTTACTATTATGAATATGTATTTTTACATATTTTTTGTAAACGCGTTTTACAGAAATTGTTCTATCCAAGCATTGGGATTCGAAATCATAATAATAATAAGTACAATAATAGATATTATACGAACAGGAAAATTGGAAAACTACTCAGTGTGTAGCCCACACTGTATAAAGTTACAACTATTATCCTATAATACTACTCGTCTTAGATACACAATAATTAAAGTATAGGTAATTTTAAATGTGTATTAGTATTGTTCTATATTATATTTCATCATAATATACTTTATAACCATTTCCATCAACGTTTTCCACTACATCGAATTTCAATCACCGGTGATACAAAAGTCGTAATTATATTAAAATGTTTACATAGTAGTTTTATATTCATATTTAAGCATGTGAATGTGTCTGATAATAAATATTAAATAAATATTATAATACCTATACGTATAAAAAAAAATTAAAAATAGGTTTTTGTTGTACTGATACGATGATAATAATATTGTCTTGTCGAAAATGCATTACAGCTGCCTTTGGACACACAATATAGTGACTAAAACAGCTGTAGCTAGCAGATAACAATTGTTATTCGGTGTATTTCGAGTTTTTCACATAAATTCTACTATGTTTAGTGTATACATAGATAAAATTGGTTAAGGTACCAATTTGTATGTTACATGTAATTCGCTAAAATGCAATGTAAATTCCTTGTCAATAGAGACAACATTACTTTGAACCAGTATAAAGTCAAACAAAAATAATTTTACACGAAACCGGATTTCAAAAATAACTTTTAAGAAGTGAAATTACATAGCAACATATATCACATCGTGTATTCGAAAGACTCAAAATATAATAGGTACGTAATACATAATATTATATTTACGCACATACGTGCACTTTTTCGATGCAATTTCATAAACTAATTTTTTATTGAGAAACGTCTAAGTTGTATTATATTAATAATATTATGCGCATTAACAGAATAATCACATTGTCCATTTTCAAATTGAACGTAAAAGTAATACAAACATATATTTAAACACCGTGAAAGTCAAGTATATTAGTATATTATAATATTGTTACAACGTTTGAATATACACGGGTATAATTATAACGATGCGTTTTACAACCAACAGAAATATTATTTTATAATAAAATATTATTATGGGATATAGGATAACTACGTTTGGTTTCGATCTTTAAAATAAACGTAATCTTTATAATAAGGCGTAGCACCCCGGTGGTCTATATGACGTACAAAAGACAAACAATCGCGTACTTATATCTAAATACTATTATTATATTGTACGCAGTATACGTGCAGCCATACAACAATGCAAACGGGCGTACGCTCTATACAATAATAGAATATTGTCGACTACTATTGTATGATATATTCGAATAAACCAGCTATAATGAGAGTCTTACTGAAACGACTAACTTTGACGTAGGACTGTCGAACACTATGGCTATGGTTTCGAAAAATATAAGCAAAGTCGACGACTCTTCGTCAGATGACGTAGCTATACATTGTAATAATATAAAGTATGAGCTTGAATTCGACCGTAATATAATGATAGTAAACAATACGAATCCTTTTGTAGGTGGTTTACAAATGAGACGAATGATTTTTCTACTAAATATATTGTATATTTAAACAGGAAGATGTGAACTATTTTATGTAGAAATATTTTTAATATCACGGTTTTCTACAACATAATATTATAAACACCAAAAAAAAAAAAAAAAAAAATGTTTCCAAACATAACGCAAATTTAACTTAATAATAATTTTATAATATTTTAAATATTAATTAGAGTTTGAACTTTGTCATCTATTCATGTTTTCTTTGATTTTTACAAATATTATTTCTTGGTACGCCTTAAGTTTATTTCATAACATTATAGTTTAATACAAATGAAATATCTATTATTGTTTGGTGCATACTTCTCTTTTTAACCATATTTAATAAGTTAAACGCTAGTTTGATGATATTCATGTTAAAAAATGTATGAATTAATAAAAAAATATATATTGGTTTTTTGTTTTAACTTTTAATCATGGTCTATGCCATGAATTTGTTACTAACAATACTATACAGGTTAAATTTTGAATCCTTCGTTTAATTTATGTTACATACTATTTATTACAAATTAATACGTATGTATTAATATATAACATTATTATTATTTTAGATGTAAATACCAGAAAATTATATTTGATTATATTTTCTACAGTTTTAAAATATAACAATATTTTAACTAAATTTGCAGTTTTCGATGTAAAAACATAGAAATCCAAGAATATAAACAGTTCAAATTGTTTATTTTTTCATTTTCATAACTATTAGTATACATGTATTTAGTACGTTTATAGAACATTAAATGCAAACGTTAGTAATAGTTTATAAAGGTACCTAATCCATATAAACCATCAGTACATGTACAATACACATATACATTATTCATATTGATACGTTCAATGTTATATAATTATACCTATACCGATCCTTCGATTATGGCAAATTCCGTTATTGGATTTATTATAACAATAATAATAATAATAATAAAGAAATACAACGACGTGTGGACCTTGAATGGGTTTTACTTTATAATTTTTATTATTTTATTATTTTAAATCACCCGCATTCGCCTTCGCTGTGCCCCGGGCGCGTATTCATTCATGTGGCCTGCGCGCCTCATCACGACGAGTTCAAAACTTCGCCCACGTACGTCCGTATATTATTATTATTATTATTATTACTATTTTCTTTTTTAAGAGAGAGACGCAAAGAATATAATATACATACGTACATACACCACCATTATAAACGCGCGCGCGCGTGAGTGTGTGCGAGTACATCCGATCGTTTTGTAGTCATGTGGGTCTGCCAGAATCGTATTTTATTGTCCTTATAACACACACACACACACATGTATGTATATATATACATTTACACGTAGAGCCACAGACACGTATGTATAAAGAGAAAAAAACGCAGACGTTAGATTTGTCGTGGCTCGGAACAACAACAAAAAAAAAAAGAATAAAAAAATAGGTGCGCCCTTTAAAGAAGTGTCCTCTGGCTGGGTGCGTTACTGTAGCAAACTGGGGAACGGAACGTTCGTTATAATATACACCTTAAACACCAAGCCCAACAGATTATAGTTAAGTTCTATAACTATACACACATGTTTAATTTATTATATTATATATTACATATTATTATCATTGCTTCAGTTGATTAGACCACCACCGCTAATACGTCTATTATACCTACGTAGTCACGCAGGTTATACAGTTAAACGCGATGATGCTATTATGCTTCATGCGTTATGTCGTTATGTGTATATAGAAATATTTTTTATGAAGTAGGCATTATTGTCCTTAGCTTACTTTTTTTTA